TCCTGCTGTGAACCCTGCAGTTGACCCTGAAGAGGTCCCAGCTGACCCTTCCCTGACTCCACACTCTCCCCCAATCCTGCTGTTCCTGCTAAGGCCACTCCACTCCTTCCTATAGCATGGCCAGCTCTTCCTCAGAAGTGGAGATCAGCGACTCTTGGCTAGTTCCTTCAGCTTCCAGGGATGTGAGCAGCTGGGCCTCCTCAGTGTATTAGGCTGACTTTCCTGAGTTGCTCCTGCACCTGGGCTTCCTACTCATCCAGACCATTAAGGAGACCCTGTCCTTGCTGTTTCTGGGCCTGAAGTCTTTGCAGATTAGCATTTGCCTTTGAAGTTCATCCTGAAGATCCTCAACCTCACCGTTCTCTGTTGAAGAGTATATCTTTCACCCACCTGGAGTGGCCCAGTTGGTGGAGCATTATCCTGTGCACTGAAAGGTTGTTGGTTTAACTCCAGGTCAGGACACACATCTGACTTGAGGGTTTAGTCTGGTTGGGGCACCTGCAGAAGGCAAATGATCAATTCTTCTCTTTCACATCCATGTTTCTCTGTCTTCCTCTCTCCACCTTCTCTCTAAGCATGTCCTCAGGTGAGAATTTTTTAAAAATAGAGCACCGTCTTTCTCCTTAAGGTCCTCCTGCACATTATTCTTGTCCCTCTTTAGGTCAATGGTGTCATTATTAAGGGCATCTAGCTCCTTAATAGCAGAGAAATCTGTAGAAAGACTGGATCCTATGATGCTCTTTTGTAAATGGGACCTGTCTGGTGGTGGAAGCATCTCAGCAGTAAAAAATTAGAAGAATAAATGAACTTTATTAATTTCTGATTGACTGAGTGAAAAGCCAAGACAAACATACCATTTGAAAGCTTCCCACAGGGTGACACAGCACCCAAAGGTAGGCTAGTCAGGTAGAAGCTAACCCTGTCTCCAGGAAGATCTCACAAACTTCCAATCCAGACACAAACTCATCCGTGTCCTCATCAGTTTCCAGGATGATGCCATCCTCTTTAGCTTTTTCTGCAGGGGATACAGCCCACGTTTTCCTCTTAGCAGGTGGCACAAGGCTGGAGGCCAGGACGACATGGGCAGTGCTTGCTCCAATGTGCCCTTTACCAAGCACATGGCACCTGCAGACTCATCTTCATGAGCTTCGCACCAGGGCCAACACCACTCAGCTCCCAAACGCTTCCAAGGGCAGCCACATGCAGCGTCGAGGTGAGTGACGCTGGTTTCCCTTTATCACAGACAGAAATCCACGTACGGGCTTAAAATGATCAAAAATGGCGCCATGTTTGGCCTTGTCTTCAGATTTTACAGCCCACAGGAGCCCCGATGCAGAGTTCTCGCTGTCCAGCAAGGGACTTCGTGTGTCCTGAAATCGTGTTGCAGAAAAGCAAGCTTTAAGCTCCTCAGAGACACCTGCAATGCATTCTGGGTACATGCACAAGGCACAGACCAATGAATAAGTCCCCTTTGCTCAGGACACCTTTGCCTTCTGGGTCAGCAAAAGCCCAAACCTTTCCCATTGTCAGATCTGGGAGCCTGATATGTTCAGGAAAGCAGCAGCATCAGCAGCCACTACCCTCAGGGATGGCCCGCACTGCCCTGTCTGCAGCATTTTCCACATGAAGGGGTCCCACTTGATGACTGTGTCAGGGAGAGCTGGGCCGGCACAGCCATGGTGCCCCCATCCTGCAGGGGAGGGGAAGGAAGGACAGTCAGGCAGAGGTGGAGTGGAGAGAAAGGGGCAGGATCATGAAAGGCAAACCCTTGCCTCCTCTCACACCCGGGGATTTCCCTTTCCTGTCCATTCCTATTGGACAGTCCCCTCCCACACACCTGCTTCTCCACAGAGAGTCCCTCTCAGGGCTGTCCTGCAAAGAGGTGGGTAGTGGGATCTGCCCTGCCCTGTGGCACCCTCTCTCCCTAAGTTAGCATCTGACTGTGATGTGCCCAGCAGAGCCCACGCCAAAGGTGAGTCTCACACTCACACCTGGACAGATGCCCACGCCCGGCTAGAATGGATTGAATCCATTTCCACACACACACAGAGGACAGGGCTCAGTGCTGACCATGGGCAGGGTCTGTTGTCAGAGAGACCCCAGTGCCCATATCCAAAGCATGTGGAGGGGCAACCCTGCTCCAAATTTCACCCTGAGTCCATTCCCCTCCCTGTGTGTGGCCACCCTGGGTCCCTCTCTTGTCCACACGGAGGTGGGAAGCTCCACACTGATGACTTCTGGCAGTGCCCAGGCACAGTAGCCACTCAAGGTTGGCCCCCATTGTCTGGGAAGCTCCACACGGATGACTTCTGGCTGCACCCAGGCAGAGTAGCCACTCAAGGTTGGCCCCTGTTATCTGTTCTGCTTCCCTCTCCATCTGGGGAACTTGCAGTTCCCTTTTGGGCATTGAGGATGGCCACATGTTTCAGGAACAGTGTGCATAGCCTTTCTCAGTATCAGGAGCAGATGGGGATTTGTACGTGTGGGTATAGGAATCATCCAATTCCTGCGGAGTTCTGAACAACACCGCTCAGGGCTCACCTCACAGGGCTTAGTCAGGTGTGGAAATAAAACAGGATGGCTCCCTCCAGGTCCCCACAGCACAGACCCCACAACCACTCTAAGGAGTTCCGTTCTTAATGATGTGCTGCATGAGAGGAAACTGAGACCCAAGAGGTTGTATATTGAGGGTGAAGGTCACACACCTAAAGGACAATGGAGGACTATTTAAATAAGAATAAGCCCAGCTGGTGTGTCTCAGTGGTTGCGTGTTAATCTATGTATGATCCAGGAGGTTGAATTTCAATTCTTAGTCAGGGCATAAGCCCAGATTTCGGGCTCAATCCCCCATATGGAGTGTGTAGGAGGCAGCCGGTCAGTGATTCTCTCTCCTCGTGGATGTTTCTATATCTCACTCACTTTCCTTCCTCTCTGAATTCCATAATTAATATATTTTTAAAATAAAAAGTAAATAAATAAATGAGATCAGTTTTGGTCCCCAAACCAGAGCAATAACACACGTATGGTCACTGACTGTGAAGACAGGGGCCCACGACGAGGAGAAGAGATCTTCCTGAGGAACAAGGAACTGAGGGGAGAGTGACTCAGAGGCGAGATCCCGCCCTGATGGGGTGGATGCTGTTGCAAGAAAGGGGAGTGACCAGGGGCTGGGATAGGAAGAGAACCACACTCTGGGGCCACAGAAGGGACCTGTTTCCTTCCCTTATTTCTCTGCATTTCCCTCAGTGCTCCTTGTCACAGGGACATCGCCCTGAGCTGCACAGTTGGAGGGTGAACATGTCCCTGTGATCTGAGCTCTGCAGGCCACAGGGACCCAAGACTTCCTGAAGCATCTCCAGGCCCGGGTGGCACTGTCCATGGTGAGGACCCCAGGGAGGTGCTGATGGACAAGCTGAGGAGGAAGGAGACCCCGTGGGGGAGGCTCAGACAGGGAAGGACGTGCCCTGGATCACCTCACATGCATGGGAGTCTCAGGAGGCACCAGGTCTATTTCCTGCTTCACCATGAAAATGAGAGCTGGGCTCCTAGAGCGAGGCTGTGCCCTCCCCTACAGGCTTCTGATGTGACAACCCTGGGCCAGGAAGTACTGGACTCCAAGTGACCACCACCCGTGTGTCTGCGTGTCAATCCCGCTGGCCCCGTGGCCTCCATCTGCTCAGCTGAGGCCACAGGGAGAAGAAGCCATGACCCCCACCCTCAGGGCCCTGCTCTGCCTCGGTGAGAAGGGAGGGGGGAGGGGACCCTGGTCTGTCAGGACCCCAGGACTCAGAAGGCTCATGGGGAAGAGGGTGCTGCTCAGGGTTCAGGGCAAATCTCTCACAGGGACTCTCTTCCAGGGCTGAGTGTGGGCCTCAGGACCCCAGTGCAGGCAGGTGAGTCTGTCCCCAGGTTTCCCAGGTCACAATCATCACAGGAGACAAGGGCCACCCTCCAGGCAGCAGGAGCAGGATCTGTCTAACAGACAGGGGGCATCTGGGACTGAGAGCTGGGACCAGGGGTGGTAATGTCCTGTGACCCAGCCTCTGATTTATTCCAGGGTCCCTCCCCAAGCCCACCCTCTGGGCTGAGCCAGGCCCTGTGATCCCCTTGTGGAGCCCCGTGAACATCTGGTGTCAGGGGATCCCAGGGGCTGAGGAGTACCATCTGGAGAAAGACCGAAGCCCAGCACCATGGAAAACACAGAAGCCACAGGAGCCCAGGGACAAGGCCAAGTTCTCCATCACACACATGACAGAGCGTGATGCAGGAGATTATCGCTGTCAGTATCGCAGCCCTGCTGGCTGGTCAGAGCACAGTGACCCCCTGGAGCTGGTGGTGACCACAGGTGAGAGGACACTCAGGGGTCCCAGCCTCAGGCCCTGCCCTCAGGAAGGGTTTCTGCTCTCAGGGTGTCTCCCTCTCACAGCCCAGCCTTGGGGGACGTGAGGGAGGTGTGAGCCCATTTAACACGCTGCCCCCTCCTCTCCTAGGATCCTACAGCAAACCCAGGCTCTCAGCCCTGCCAAGCCCTGTCGTGACCTCAGGAGGGAACGTGACCCTCCAGTGTGGCTCATGGCAGGGATTTGCCAGGTTCATTCTGACTAAGGAAGGAGATCACAGGCTCTCCTGGACCCTGGACTCACAGCCACAGCCCAGTGGGCAGTCCCAGGCTCTGTTCCCTGTGGGCCCCGTGACCCCCAGCCACAGGGAGACATTCAGATGCTATGGCTGTTACAGGAACAGCCCACAGGTGTGGTCACCACCCAGTGACCCCCTGGAGCTGCTGGTCCCAGGTGAGTCCCATTATTTCCCCATCCATGGATTGAGGCACGAGACACATTATTGGCATCTTTTCTGTAAGGGAATGCCATGTGAGAGGGCTGGGTTAGGGGATCACCGGGGCTCCTGGCCCAGAGACACAGAGAGACAGTGAGACCTGGGGGCCAGGAGAAGGGGTTTATGGGAGGAGCAGCCCCTGTCACTCATGTCTGTCTCCCCAGGTGAGTCTGGGAAGCCCTCCCTCCTGAGCCAGCAGGGCCCCATTGTGGCATCTGGACAGAACCTGACCCTCCAGTGTCGCTCTGATGTCGGCTATGACAGATTCGCTCTGCACAAGGAGGGGGGACGGGACCTCCCCCAGAGCCTTGTCCTGCAGTCCCAGGCTGGGCTCTCTCAGACCCACTTCCCCCTGGACACTGTGAGCAGCTCCCACGGGGGCAGGTACAGATGCTATGGTGGATACAACCTCTCCTCTGAGTGGTCGGCCCCCAGTGACCCCCTGGACATCCTGGTGGCAGGTGAGGGGCCAGTGGGTTCAGACAGGGACCCAGACTCTGCACAGGCCATGCTGGGGGTCTCAGGTGGGGAGACCAGTATGACAGTGCAGGGCCCCAGTGAGGGAGAGAGACAGAGAGAGGCCGGGAGTGGGAGGGGAGAGGGGGAGGCTCAGAGAAACAGAGACAGACACAGAGGAGGGTCCTCAGAGAGAGGCCTGATGACTCTCAGGTCAGAACAAGGTGGGCAGGCAGCCCTCACCCTCCCTCCTTCTCTCTAGGATGGCTGCCTGACAGACCCTCCCTCTCGGTGCAGCCAGGCCCCAGGGTGGCCTCAGGGGAGAACGTGACCCTGAGGTGTCAGTCACAGAGCCCGAGGGACACGTTCCTTCTGTCCAAGGAGGGGACAGCCAATCCTCCCTGGCATCTGAGATCAGAGCATCCAGCTCAGCAGTTCCAGGCAGAGTTCTCCATGAGTCCTGTGACCTCAGCCCACGGGGGCAGCTACAGGTGCTACAGCTCACGCAGCTCCATCCCCTTCCTGCTGTCACTCCCCAGTGAGCCCCTGGAGCTCCTCGTCTCAGGTGAGGCCCCTGACCCTGTCTGCTGAGCTGTCAGCTCAGGGTCCTGTCCCCAGAACAATCATGGGCTAAAGGGGTCTCTAGGGATGGTCAGCCAGAGGATTTCTGCCCCTCAGAGACACCCCCCCCCCGCAATCCCTCTCTTACCCTGCCCCTCACCTGGTCCAGATGGTGCCTGTGGACAGTGGGAGGGTCTCAGAGGCCACAGGGCAGATGCAGGAGGAGTTGAGAGAGGTAGAGACTCTAGGATCCACCCCAGACCCTCACCCCCTTCTGCCCTCCTTCCCAGGAACCTCTAGGACCCCAACCCCCCCCCCCCACACACACACACACCGGGCCCATGTCCACAGCTGATGAACCACTGGGTCCCATTTGCTTAGAGAAAGCACTGACCATCCCAGAGCAGTTCGGAGTCTCTTAGAGGATCTAATGCCCCCCCCCTCTCCCCCACGCCCCGGAAACTTAAGAACAGGCTTGTGTCCGAGGGGGGTGGGAGTTGGGGAGAGATTTCAGGGAACCATGGAGTTCCAGGGGCTGTAGGTTTCACCCCTCCCCCACCACACAGTCAGGCTTGCCGAGGAGTAAGTGAGGGGACAGGTAGGGAGGTCATGGCTGAGGGAGATGTGGGGCCCAGCTGGGGGAGGGGGAGCTGTTCTCTAATGGGGAGAAGACAGCCTCTCCTGTAATCCTGATCCAAGGAGGCTCTGAGGATCATGGGCTTCCCCCCACCCCATGGAGTCAGGCCCCCAGAGGGGTAAGTGAGGGGCTCTGTGGGGAGGTGGTGGGTGCCTCCATGAGGGACAGCGGCTGAGACATGCAGGGGTTCAGGCACCTGTGGAGACACTCACTTAAACTCACCCTTCCCCTGCCTGTGCCTCAGTGTCTCCAAGTGTAAAAGGAGAGGATCCTTGTCCAGAGCTTAGATTTCCTGTCGGTTCTGGCCCTGACCTCCTGGGAGAAGGGCTTCACAGGGAAGCCCCCAGATCATGATGTAATAGGGTCTGTCCCCTCCGTCTCAGTAACGGTGACACTGTACAGGGAGGGACAGGCAGGACAAGGGTCCGGGCACCCAGTCCTACCCCTCAGCTCAGGCTCAGCTCAGAGGAGGGAACAGGGTGGATCAGCCCTGGTTCAGCTCCTGGCTCTGCTGCTCCTGCTGTGGGGCTGGGCGGCCCCTTCTCTCCTCTGAGTGTCGGGTTCCTGTCTGCTCATCCCTGGTCCCATCCTGCTCACAGGCTGCTGGGAGGTGAGGTGACATGAGGGCCTCACAGAGCTCAGGAAGGCAGAGCCCAGCCCAGCCCGACCTTCCCAAGGGGGCATCAGGGCCTGCAGGGTGGAGATGGACCCCGGGGAGACTCACAGTCCACACCTCACCCTGCCCCTCAATATCCCTGCTGTTCTGGGGGCGGGCAATGAGGAAGGGCCCTCAGCTCCAGATGAGACGTGGACAGGTGCCTGCAGAGGAGGAGCCCAGAGCATGAAGCTGGTGTCCCCCTGGGAGGCATCGTGAGGACAGGACAGGGAACCCACAGTCCTGGGTTCCAGTCCCAGCCCCGCCCCGTCCAGGCTGGGTGACGTGGGGCACATGATTAACCTCTCTGATCCTCAGTGAAGAGAGTGATGGGGTCAGCAGTCCCTGGTGCATGACTGCTTTGAGGTGAGAGGAGATGAGTGACAGACCCCAGCATGTGCCTCGCACACAGTAGGTGCTCATTAGATGGCATCACTGGCTCAATCATTCGTCATGAAGGGAAGACAGGCAGCCAGGTCTTTCATGTCTGATTCCTTTCCAGGAGACGTCCCCAAACCCTCCATCTGGGCTGACCCAGGCCCCATCGTCACCAAGGGGAGCTCTGTGACCATCTGGTGTGAGGGGTCTCTGCAAGCTAGTGCCTACGTTCTGTATAAAGAGAGGGGCTCTGAGCCCTTGGAAACCAGGATCCCACAGGACTCCAGCAACAAGGCCGGTTTCCTCATTGAAGCCACAACCCCATCCCATGCAGGGCAGTACCAGTGTGCATATTACACCACTGGGGACATACTCTCAGAGCGCAGTGACCCCCTGCTCCTGGTGGTGACAGGTAAGAAAGAAACCGGGTCCCCTCCCCACTGTGGGCTCCAGGTCACAGGCAGAGGGAGTACAGTGTGGCCTCAGGGGATCTCATCCCTCACAGAACACACCTGGGGCGTGAGGGTGACGGTCCCTTTAACACAGACCCTTTCTCCTCCCTCAGGAGAGTATGGTGCACCCTCCCTCTCAGCCCAGCCAAGCCCTGTGGTGGCCTCGGGAAAGACCGTGTCCCTCTCCTGTACCTCTAACCTCACATGGGGCCCTTTCCATCTGCTGAAGGAGGGAGGGGCTGACCCGCCCCAACGCATGGAAGCAGAACCAAGGATGCATGCTGAGAAGTGGCAGGCCATCTTCCCTCTGGGCCCCGTGAGCCCCTCCCATGGGGGGACCTACAGATGCTACGGTTCTTCCAGCTCCTACCCCAACGTGTGGTCACAGCCCAGTGACCCTCTGCACATCGAGGTCACAGGTGAGGGACAGGCCTGGATGCATCCCCTTTTTTTCCCCTGGGCCCAAAATGACTGTGCTGTGTCTCCACTGAGGCCATGGGGTCATGGGGGTCAGGGGCCTCCTGCCCAGACTCTATGCATTCACCTCTGCTCAGTGTTTCTGTGCACACAGGTCTATTGTGGCTCTTTTTCGAGAATTTTCAGGCAATACTTCAATCTATAAGCTCACAATTTCACTTACATTATATTGAGTCTGAATTGAAATATAAATATTCCATTCCTATTGTCATTGGAAGGAGATGAAATCCAGACATTTGTTATGGAGAACAACTTCTTGTTTATATAAAGTCTTCTTATCACACACATTTTCAAATGAGCTTTATGAATGAACTTCAGAAGCATGTAATGGCTATTTGTAAAATTGAGTCAATGTACAGCCTACTTAGAGAATTTCACAACTAATATTGTAATTTGTGAGTAAGTGGTGTAATTCCTGTAGATTTTCTAAATGGTAGTAAGTGCACATAGGAAAGCTATTGTGTGGACATACTTATATCATGACCTGTTAGCCTCCCAAAGATTCTCTCCCTGTAGATTGTTTTTCAGTTGATCCCTCTGATATAAAATTACAAGAGGCCCGATGCACAAAATTCATGCAAGAGTAGGCCTTCCTCTGGCCACCAGCAAGCACCCGGGACCCGGGCCCTCCCAGCCCCGGCTTCGTTGGGAAGGTCATCAGGAAGGACGTCTGGCCTAATTAGCATATTATGCTTTTATTATTATAAATAATACCCAGCAGTCAAAGAAAAGGTCACTTCTTTATTCCCAATGGCATAACTATTTTTCTCACTCCACGTCAATTAGGATGGAATGATGGACCAAAATGGCCCACAGCTTCCCCTCCGGAAAACAGCTTAATTTACACCCAATGTTATGTCAAGGCAAATCCATTTACAAATTTGCATTTTATATTGAAAGCACTATTGGCCGCTCTGTTGCAATCTGTTCTTCTCTTTCATTAAGTTTTACTAGGAATGCTCTCTTTGCCTGACAGATGCACATCCCTCCATAATTATCTTTTCTCTGACCTTTAACCACATGACACACATTACAAAGGCTTCTTGGTGTCACCATTTGGATATTAACCCAACTGAGTGACGCTGATCGTCCATGAGCATTTTCTGAGTTGTGGAGCTGATGTTTAGTTATTGCATGGATCACTGTACTGAGGAGAGGTCAATAATTTTGTTTATATCTCAGGTTTTATATCAAAATAGGGTAACATTTACATGATTTCCTACTTTGGTGCTCACTCAATAATGAAATTAGGGGGGATTTTCTCTGTGACTTAAAGTTTGAGCCAGAAGTGTTGTCGTCCTTGGTTACGACCTCTGTTGTACTTTGAGATAAAGCAAAAGCTCACACCATTAGCATCCATATGCCCACATTTCCCATTTGGTAAATATATCCACCACTGTAGGTATTCACTTGCATAATTGTAGATTAAAGGAGTTAAACCCTAGCTGGTTTAGCTCACAGGATAGAGAGCATTGGCCTATGGACTGAAAGGTCACAGGTTCTATTTTCACCAAGGGCACATGCCCGGATTGCAGGCTCAGTCCCCATAGGGGTATGCAGGAGGCAGCCAATCAATGATTCTCTCTCATCATTGATGTTTCTGTCTATCTCCCCTTCTCCCTTCCTCTGATATCAATAAAAATATCCTATATAATAGAAGCCTAATATGCAAATTGACCAAACGGCGGAATGACCTGAGGAACCACCGTCGCTATGATGCGCACTGACCACCAGGAGGCAGATGCTAAATGCAGGAGATGCCCCTAGGCCACAAGCCACAGGCCGGGCAAGAGAGGTGTCAGTGGGGGCTCCCTTATCGCCCCACCAGTCGATCCACAGATCGGCCCGGATCGCTAACCCAGGCCTAGGGACCCTACCTGTGCACAAATTTTGTGCCCTAGGCCTCTAGTATTTAATAAATAAATAAATAAATAAATAAATAAATGAGTAAATAGAAGAACCAATAGATGAACAATTTCCAATGAGGATGAAAATGCGGATCCCAGGGAGGAATGGCCTGGGCAGGGCGGGGTGAAGGAGACCCAGCCCAGACTTTCACCCCTTCATGCTCCTGTGATTCAGGAGCCCCTGACACCACACCCTCCTCCATGGACCCTGGGTCCCCAGCTGTTGAGAATGTGTGATCTCTCAGCTGTAGGGGAATAAGCTCATGGGGTCTTGAGTCTCAGCCTGAACCACAGAACACCCAGCTCTTAGTTATTTCTGAATTTTGATCATATCTTCTCTTATCCTCAGTTCTCAGGGACAGCTCTTACAAGGTGACTCAGAGCAGGTGCAGAGTTCAGACATCACTGGGATGCTGATGGGGAGGTGGGAGCCCAGGGAAGTCACCAGAATCCCGGAGGTTTGGGTCTGCCCTGACCTCTGAGACTTCTTTACCCACAATTCTTATTTTCCCATCCTCAAGACTACACAGTGGAGAATCTCATCCGGATGGGCGTGGCTGGCTTGGTCCTGGTGGTCCTCGGGGTGTTGCTATTTCTGGCTCGAAACGACACCAGAAGGACCCTCCATGCAGCCAGGATGTGAACACAGAGGGAACAATGCACCGTTCTGAGTGGGGGAGCCTTGGAGCCCATCTGATGACCCCAAGAGGTGCTGAAAGAGAATATGGACCATAATTGGGCAAACTGTCTTCTGAGAACGTGCAGGGGAGAAGACGTGGGTTCAGGAGAATGTGGGCCATGTCCCTGTAGAGGACACCCCCTCCATCCACCTGGGTTGCTCTCCCTTCCTCCCTGTCCTCACTGACTCTCCCTCATTGCCCTTCTGTTCTCACCCTGTGTGTGAGGGTCCATCCCACCTGGCTGGTTTGGATTCACATCTATATACCCCTTCATGCTGGGCCACATCCATCCCCCCAAAAATGTGGTATCTTTATAACCCTGGGATTGTATTTTATTTTACTTCATTTTTACTTTTTTAACTATGTTTTTTTGATTTTAGAGAGAGACGAAGGGAGAGGGATAGACAATAGAAACATAGAGGAGAAAAAAACATCAGCTGCCTCCTGCACTCCCCCTTTTGAGGATGGAGCCCGCCACGCAGACATGTGCCCTGACTGGGATTTGATCCAGTGACCTCCTGACTCATATGTCAATGTTCAACCACTGAGCCACACTGGCTGGGCTGTGGCATTAATTCTAAACCAAGAAGAACTTAGTAAAAAAAAATAGTCCTGATACCTGCTCCACGTGGTCCAGCCCATTGCACATCTCCACCCTCCTACAACCTCTATGCGGCTTCTTCTTTGTATCCTTACCTGGTACCTTCATTCACCCAGATTCCAGGTGGTTCTGGATGCTGGTTGCTCTGTAGTTTAGTTGTGATTTCACTGTGGTCATGGGAGGATTTCAGTACTTCCTTTACTTCCTCTGCTATCTTGAGCAGAAGTCCTAATATTTTGATAATAAATAAGTAATTTTGGATTGATGACATCATTTTATTTAAGTAATGCATGAGGTTCATTTTAAGTAGCTTTTTAAAAATTTTCCAGACCGGTTTTAAATTGATTCAGATTTATTTGTTTTATACATTTATATCAATCAGCTTGGAGGTCACACATACCTTTCATATAGGAATAGTTACCACCATTGTTAATGTTGATAAATGGGTCTGTGGGCCAATCATTAGCTGCAACTACAACCTTCCACCTGGAGCGATAGGGTCACTGTGCCTCAGTGTTTGTACCAAACGGTCCCTGCTGATGCCGGCTGCACTGAAAGACTCAACAACAGACATGACCACAGCATCAGGAGAAAATTGCCTGAGAAAGCTGTCCAATGTACATGGATCTGAACCCTTGAAGGACCACCTCCAAATAGACCAATTTCCCCAAAAGGATCGGCCTTGTAAGGATCACTGCCAATAAAAATATCAAACTGGAAAAAAATCCAAGTCTGTACCTGCACCTGGATCTGCCAGGAACCTTGATGCTACAGTCACTGGGTCTTCCTCATTGGAGTGTCTGTCACTGTAGGATTCAGGATAAACTTGCTCTGGGCAGCTGCATCGCCAATCCCTTCTCAGGAGCCACCACTCCCCACACCTGCCTTCCCCACACTAATGTTTGTGATCCTGAGCTGTGCATATATGTATATAACACACCCGGTTAATTTCTTCTCATCAACCCAGCCACCTCCTCCTTCCCTGGAGATTCCAGTCTGTTCCATACTTCCATGTCTCTGGATCTGTTTTATCCTTCAGTTTACATTATTCCTTAGAATCCACACACAAATGAGATCATGTGATACTTACCTTTCTCTAACTGGCTTATTTCACTTAGCATAATACTCTCCAGGGCCCTCCGTGCTGACTCAAAGGGTAAGAAATCCTTCTTTTCTACAGCTGCATAGCATTCCATGGTGTAAATGTACCAGCTTTTTTACTCACTCATCTACTGATGGGCCTTGGGCTGTTTCCAGATCTTAGCTATTGTGAATTGGGCTTTTATGAACATGGGAGTGTATATGTTCTTTCTGATTGCTGTTTCTGGGTTCTTAGAATATACTCCACACCGTTTTCCATAATGGCTTCATCAGTCTGCGTTCCCACCAGCAGTGCACCGGGGTTCCCTTTTCTCCACATCCTCATGGACAATTGCCGTTTGTTGATTTGTTGACAATTAACATTCTGACAGGTGAGATGATACCTCACTGTTTTTTATTTTGCATCTCTCCGATGATCAGTGACTGCAACAATTTCATTGATTACTATGGGTTTCCAGCTCTTTCCGTCCGTTTCCTTTTCATCCATTTGCATTCAACTGATTTCCTGCTATGAACTATGCAGGAGCTACTGAGGAGGTCCAAGGTGGCCCTTCCCTGACTCCACACTCCACCCCAATCCTTCTGTTCCTGCTGTAGGCCACTCCACTCTTCCCCAGCTTGGCCAGCTCTTCCTTAGAAGTGCAGATCTGCGACTCTTCACTAGTTTCTTCAGTGTCCAGGGATGTGACCAGCTGGGCCACCTCAGTGCATTTACCTCTGACCCCCCAAGTTGCTCCTGCAGTTGGGCTTCTGACTCATCCAACCCAATAAGAAGACCCTGTCCTTTCTGTTCCTGGGCCTGTAGTTTTGCAGATTAGCATTTGCCCTTTGAAGTTCATCCTGAAGACCCTGAATCTCACCATTCTCTGTCGAAAAATATATCTTTCCCCCACCTGGAGTGGCCCAGTTAGTTGAGCATTATCCTGTGCACCAAAAGGTTGCTGGTTCAATAGCAGGTCAGGAAACACAACTGGGTTGTGGATTCAATCCCTGGTCAGGGTACATGCAGAAGACAACTGATCAATGCTTCTGTTTCACATCCATGTTTCTCTGTCTCCCTCTCTCTAACCATGTCCTCCGATAAGAATTTTTTTAAAAAAATAGAGTACCTTTTTTCTCCTTAAGGTTCTGTTGCACATTATTCATTTCCCTCTTTAGGTCAACGGTGTCAATAATAAGGGCATCTAGCTCCTTAATAGCAGATAAATCTGTAGGAGGACTGGATAGTATGATGCTCTTTTCCTAAACGTGCCCTTTCTGATGGTGGAAACATCTCAGGAGTAAAAATGTGAAGAGGATCAATGCCCTTCATTAACTTCTGATTGACTGAGTGAAAAGCCAAGGCAAACATATCCTTTGAAAGCTTCCCACCGGGTCACATAGCACCCAAATGTAGGCTAGTCAGGTAGAAGCTAACCCTGTCTCCAGGAAGATCTCACAAACTTCCAATCCAGACACAAACTCATCCATGTCCTTATCAGTTTCTAGGAAGATGTCATCCTCTTCAGCTTTTTCTGCAGGGGATACAACCCACGTTTTCCTCTTAGCAGGTGGCACAAGGCTGGAGGCCAGGACATGGGCACAGGTGCTTGCTCCAATGTGCCCTTTACCAAGCACATGGCACCTGAAGACTCATCTCCGTGAGCATCACACCAGGGCCAACACCACTCAGCTCCCAAACGCTTCCAAGGGCAGCCACAGGCAGCTTCTACATTACCGATGCTGGTTTCCCTTTATACCGACAAAAATCCAAGTACGGGGTTTAAAAAAATAAAAATGGCACCATATCTGGCCTTGTCTTCAGATTTTACAGCCCACGAACCCAGATGCAGAGGTCGCGCTGCCCAGCAAGGCACTATGGGTGTGGTGAAGTCTTGGTGGAGGAACAGTCTGGTTCAAGTTCCTCAGAGACACCTGCAATGGATTCTGGGTACATGCACAAGACACAGAACAATGAACAATTCCCGTTTGCTCAGGACAACTTTGCCTTCTGGGTCAGCAAAATCCCAAACCTTTCCCATTGTCAGATCTGGGAGCCTGATATGTTCAGGAAAGCAGCAGCACCAGCAGCCAGTACACTCAGGGATGGCCCGCACCACCCTCTCTGTAGCATTTTCCACATGAAGGGGTCCCACTTGATAACTGTGTCAGGGAGAGCTGGGCCGGCAGCCATGATGCCCCCATCCTGCAAGGGGAGGGGAAGGAAGGACAGGCAGGCAGGGGCGGGGCGGGAAGGAAGGGGAGGGTGCATGGAAGGCAAGCCCTTCCCTCCTCTCACCCCCTGGGATTTCCCTTTCCTGTCCATTCCTATTGGACGGTCCCCTCCCACACACCTGCTTCTCCACAGAGAGTCTCTCCCAGGTCTGTCCTGATGTTCAGGACGCAAAAAGGTGGGTAGTTGGATCTGCCCTGCCCTGTGGCACCCTCTCTCCCTAAGTTAGCATCTGACTGTGATGTGCCCAGCAGGGCCCACGCCAAGGTGAGCCTCACACTCACACCTGGACAGACGCCCATGCCCGGCTAGAATGCATTGAATCCGTTTCACTCACACACAGGGGGTGTGGCTCAGTGCTGACCATGGGCTGGGTTCTTGGGTAGAGAGACCCCAGTGCCCGTATCCAAAGCATGTCGATGGGCAGACCTGCTCCAAATTTCACCTTGAGTCCAGATGCCCTTCCTGTGAGTGGCCACCCTGGGTCCCTCTCTTGGCCACATCGAGGTAGGAAACTCCACACTGATGACTTCTGGCTGCACCCAGGCACAGGCCACTCAAGGATGGCCCCATTGTATATTCTGCTGCCCACTACTTTTGGGGAACTTGCACTTCCCTTTTTGGGCACTGTTGATGGCCTCATGTTTCAGAAACAGTGTACATAGCCTTTCTCAGTATCAGGAGCAGATGGGATTTGTACGTGGGTATAGCAACCATCCAATTCTTTCGGAGTTCTGAACAACACCGCTCAGGGCTCACCTCACAGGGCTTAGTCAGGTGTGGAAATAAACCAGGATGGCTCCCTCCAGATCCCCGCGGCACCGACCCCACAACCACTCTAAGGAGTTGGGTTCTTGACAATGTGCTGCATGAGAGGAAACTGAGACTCAAGAGATTGTACGTTGAAGGTGAAGGTAAAATACGTAATGGACAAGGGAAGACTATTGAAATAAGAATCAGCCCAGCCGGCATGGCTCAGGGTTTGCGCATTAATCTATGAACCAGAAGGTCGAGGTTTGATTCTCTGTGAGGGCACCGGGCTCAATCCCCCATGTGCAGCATGCAGGAAGCAGCCGGTCAGTTGTTCTCTCATCACGGATGTTTATATCTCTCTCTACCTCTCCCTTTCTCTCTGTAATCAATAAAAATATATATTGAAAATAAAAATAAATAAGAATTCGATTAGTTCCCCAAATCGGAGCAATAACACACTTATTGTCACTGTCTGTGAAGACAGGGGCCCAGGAAGAGGAGGGGAGATCTTCCTGAAGAACAAGGCACTGAGGGGAGGAAGGACTCAGAGGTGAGTTCCCGCCCTGATGGGGTGGATGCTGTTGCAAGAAAGGGGAGTGACCAGGGGCTGGGATAGGAAGAGAACCACACTCTGGGGCCAGAGGGGGAGACCCGTTTCCTTCCTTTATTTCCCTGCATTTGCCTCTGTGCTCATTCTCACAGGGACATCGCCCTGAGCTGCACAGTGAGAGGCTGAGCGTGACCCTGCTGATCTGAGCTCTGAAGTCCACAGAGACCCACATCTTCCTGAAGCATCTCCAGGGCCCGGGTGGCACTGTCCATGGTGAGGACCCCAGGGATGTGCTGATGGATGGGCTGAGGAGGAAGGAGACCCCGTGGGGGAGGCTCTGACAGGGTCTCCTACCTGCAAAGGCGTCTCATGACGGTCTATTCCCTGATCCATGATGGAAATGAGAGCTAAACATCTGGGAGACACTGTTCCCATTCCTGTGGGGCTGCTGAGGTGACAGCCCTGAGACAGGGGGGCCAGCTTCCCAGTGGCCACACCTGTGTGGGTCCATTTTGATGGCACCTTTGTCTCCTCCATCTGCACAGCCAGGTAGCAAGGAAGGAGACACCATGACCCTCACCCTCAGGGCCATACTCTGCCTTGGTGCGATGTGAGGATTTATTTTTCAAGACGGCCACTAGAATAAATAGAAAATCTGAAGCATTGTGGAACGAGTCAAAATGTCATCTGAAAAGTGAAATCATCGCACACAAGGAACTACAGGCCCACCCAGTGCGCAGCCAGGTCTTCTGAACAATCCTGGGACATTGGACACCAGTGTCATAGACACTGTGGCAGAGCAAACGCATTTAGAGAGGCGAGACATACGTCTGAGAGGGATGTTTCTTGTCAAAATCCACACAACAAGCTTTTAAAACTGGAATAAGAGCCTGTCATGATGGCTCAGAGGTTGAGCATCGACCTATTAACCAGGGGGTCATGATTCAACTCCCAATCTGAGCACATGCCTTGGATGGGGGCTCCATCCCCAGTGTGATGCATGCAGGAGGCAGCCGATCAGTGATTGTCTCTCATCATTGATGTTTCTGTCTCTCTCTCCCTCTCATTTCCTCTCTGAAATAATTAAACTGTGTGTGTTTTTCAAACTTAATGGGGAAAAAGGAAGAAGAAAAGTATTTGAGTGACGCTCCCGCTGCTGGCCGTGGGGCCTGCTGGGAGCAGGACTCCTATGAGCACTAATATGTGTGGAAGCTGTGGTTCAGACCAGCTCAGCCGGTTGCAGGCGGGGTCTCAGGGGGCACAGGGAGCTCACAGCTGCCCTTAAAGCTGAAGGTGTGTGTGCAGGAGATGAAACTGAACTCTGTCTGGGCAAGAGATGGGCTCCATGTACAAAAGAAAGAGCAGCACAGGGACTCCTGGTGGCAAAGCGCACAAACCCGCAGTCACCTGGGCAGAGCGAACTCCTGCTCATGGAGACAGTGGATGGTTCATGCCAAATTCCAGAGAAACTGTCCTGCTAAGACCATTGGGCACTGAATCTGTGTATTGCTGTAACCCTCCAGAAGTTAAACTCATTGAAGAGAAAATAAAATAAATTACACTGGGTGTTCTCATGGAAAAAAAAAAAGGAAGAGAACACCTGATCAAGACATTACTGCTCAGTTCACACAGTAGCAGGTGGGACACAAGAATTTAAATAAAGGGGGTTTTTCTCAACAAATCAACGCTCTAGGCCAAATGACAACTTCCTATTGGCTAGGACAAGCCATGGGGGACAGGTCTTCCCGAGGAACGGGGGACCCTGAGGGGGAAAATGACCCTGAGGCCTGTTCCCAAGAAGGAGGGGTTGGAGGCTGTGGCTGAGAAAAAGAGAAGTTCATGAAGAAACTTGTGATAGAAAGATAACCCAGATAACTCTAAGAAAGATAACTCTAGGTTCATAGAAGGGACCTGTTTCCTTCCTTTATTTCCCTGCATTCCCCTCTGTGCTCATTGTCACAGGGACAACGCCCTGAGCTGCGCAGTGAGAGGGTGAGCCTGTCCCTGCTGATTTGAGCTCTGCAGACCACAGGGACCCATGTCTTCCTGAAGCGTCTCCAGGGCCCCAGTGGCACAGTCCATGGTGAGGACCACAGGGAGGTGCTGATGGACAGGCTGAGGAGGAAGGAGACCCCGTGGGGGAGGTTCTCACAGGGAAGGACGTGCCCTGGGTCATCTCACCTGCAAGGGGCGTCCCAGGAGGCTCCAGGTCTATTTCCTGCTTCACCATGAAAATGAGAGCCAGGCTGTGCCCTCCCCTATAGGCTGCTGACATAACAACCCTTTGATGGGAAGGATCTGCCTCCAAGTGACCACCACCCGTGCATCTCTCTGTCCATCCTGCTGGCTCCGTGGCCTCCTCCGTCTGCTCAGCTGAGGCCACAGGGAGAAGACACTATGACCTCCACCCTCACAGCCCTGCTCTACCTCGGTGAGATGGGAGGGGGAGGGGAGCCCTGGTCTATCAGGATCCCAGGACTCAGGAGGCTCATGGGGAGGAGGGTGCTGTTCAGGGTTCAGGGCAAATCTCTCACAGGGACTCTCTTCCAGGGCTGAGTGTGGGCCTTTCAGGGCAAATCTCTCACAGGTACTCTCTTCCAGGGCTGAGTGTGGGCCTCAGGACCCCAGTGCAGGCAGGTGAGTCTGTCCCCAGGTTCCCAGGTCCCACTCCTCACTGGCAACAATGGCCACACCACAGGCCGCAGGGAAAGGGGTGCATATCTGTCTGAGAGATGGGGGGCATCTGGGACTGACACCTGGGGCCAGGTGGTGGGAATGTCCTGTGACCAAGCCTCTGATTCATTCCAGGGCCCCTCCCCAAACCCACCCTCTGGGCTGAGCCAGACCCTGTGATCCCCTGGGAGAGCCCCGTGACCATCTGGTGTCAGGGAACCCCAGGGGCTGAGGAGTGCCGTCTGGAGAAAGAGGGAAGCCCAGCACCATGGAAAATACAGGAGCCCGGGGTAAAGGCCAAGTTCTCCATCACACACATGACAGAACGTGATGCAGGGAGATATCGCTGTTACTATCTCAGCCCTGCTGGCTGGTCAGAGCCCAGTGACCCCCTGGAGCTGGTGGTGACAGGTGAGAGGACACTCAGGGGTCCCAGGCTCAGGCTCTGCCCTCAGGAAGGGGGTCTGCTCTCAGGGTGTCTCCCTCTCACAGCCCAGCCCTGGGGGACGTGAGGGAGATGTGAGCCCATTTAACACGCTACCTCCTCCTCTCCTAGGATCCTACAGCAAACCCAGCCTCTCAGCCCTGCCCAGCCCTGTCGTGCCCTCAGGAGGGAATGTGACCCTCCAGTGTGGCTCATGGCAGGGATATGACAGGTACATTCTGACTAAGGAAGGAGATCACAGGCTCTCCTGGACCCGGGACTCACAGCCACAGCTTAGTTGGCGGTCCCAGGCTCTGTTCCCTGTGGGCCCTGTGACCGCCGGCCACAGGGGGACATTCAGATGCTATGGCTGTTACAGGAACAGCCCCCAGGTGTGTTCAAAACCCAGTGAGTCCCTGGAGCTCCTGGTCCCAGGTGAGCAGCCCCTGACCCTCTCTGCTGAGCTGTCAGCTCAGGGTCCTGTCCCCAGAAGGATTATGGGCTGAAAGGGAGGGGGGCTCTAGGGATGGTCATCCAGAGGAGATCTGTCCCTCAGACAACCCCTGTCCCCTCCGCACCCCTCCCCCTCACCTGGCCCAGAAGGTGCCAGGTGGGCAGTGGGAGGGACTTAGTGAGGACTCTGTCTGAGGGGGGGCTCCAGGGTCAGTCCCAGACTCTCCCCCTCTTCCTGTCCTTCCCAGGCCCCCTGGGACCCAGCACCCCTCCCACGGAGTCCTCTTTGTTCAGAGGGAGACAGCTCCCCTGGGAAGTTCTGAGCCTGAGGACCTAATTCTGCCCATGCGCTAAGGACAGGCTGTGTCCTAAGGCTTCTAGGAGCTGGGACAGATTTCAGGGAACCAAGGTGCCCCTGGGGTTCTGAGGCTCGGTCTCCCCCATCCTGGGAGTCAGGCCCACAGAGGGGAAGTGGGGGTTTCTGTGGAAGCTGGTGGGTGTATCCATGGGGACAGGGGCTGAGCCATGTGGCAGTTCAGGCCCCTCTAAAGTCTCACTTGGACATGCCCTTCCGTGTCTGGGCCTCAGTGTCTCTAAGTTTGAAAGGAAAGAATCCTTGTCCAGAGCTCAGATTTTCTGTGGGCTCTGGCCCTGACCTCCTGGGAGAGGGGCCTCACAGGGAAGCCCTCAAGGCGTGATGTTATGAGACCTGTCCCCCCTGTCTCTATGGTGGTGACACGGTACAGGGAGGGACAGGCAGGACAAGGGTCCGGGCGCCCAGTCCTACCCCTCAGCTCAGGTTCAGCTCAGAGGAGGGAACAGGGTGGATGAGCCCTGATTCAGCTCCTGGTTCTGCTGCTCCTGCTGCGGGGCTGGGCGGTCCCTTCTCTCCTCTGAGTGTTGGGTTCCTGTCTGCTCATCCCTGGTCCCATCCTGCTCACAGGCTGCTGGGAGATGAGGTGACATAAGGGCCTCACAGAGCTCAGGAAGGCAGAGCCCCAGCCCAGCCTGACCTTCCCAAGGGGGCATCAGGGCCTGCAGGGTGGGGATGGACCCAGGAGAGACTCAGAGTCCACACCTCACCCTGCTCCTCCTGTCCCTGCTGTGCTGGGGGTGGGTAATGAGGAAGGATCCTCAGCTCCAGAGGAGACGTGGACAGGCCCCTGCAGGGGGGAGAGGCATCCAGGAAAGAGTCAGAGTCCACCCCTCACCCTGCCCCTCCCTGTCCCTGCTGTGCTGGGGGTGGGTAATGAGGAAGGACCCTCACTCCAGATGAGACGTGGACTGGCGCCTGCAGAGGAGGAGCCCAGAGCACAAAGCTAGTGTCTCCCTGGGGAGCAGCGTGAGGAAAGCACGGGGAACTCACAGTCCTGGTTTCCAGTCCCAGTCCTGCCATATCCAGGCTGGGTGACCTGGGGCACGCGATTAAACTCTCTGAGCCTCAGTGAAGTGGGGGGTGGGGTCAGCAGTCCTGCTGTATGACTGCTATGAGGTGAGTGGCAACCCCACCATATACCTCGCACACAATAGGTGCTCATTAAATGACAGCACTGTCTCATTCATGACGTCATGAGGGCATGAGGGCTCCCCAGGACCTTTCATGTCTGATTCCGTTCCAGCAGACGTCTCCAAACCCTCCATCTGGGCTGACCCAGGCCCCATCATCACCAATGGGAGCTCTGTGACCATCTGGTGTCAGGGGTCTCTGCAGGCTAGTGCCTACCTTCTGTATAAAGAGAGGGGTTCTGAGCCCTGGAAAACCAGGATCCCACACAACTCCAGCAACAAGGCCAGTTTCCTCATTGGAGCCACGACCTCACACTACGCAGGGATGTACCAGTGTGCATATTACACCACTGGGGACATACTCTCAGAGCGGAGTGACCCCCTGCTCCTGGTGGTGACAGGTAAGGGGGACACCTGGTCCCCTACCCACTGTGGGCTCCAGGTCACAGGCAGAGGGAATAAAGTGTGGCCTCAGGGGACCTCACCCCTCACACAACACACCTGGGGTGTGAGGGTGACAGTCCCTTTAACACAGACCCTTTCTCCTCCCTCAGGAGTGGGTGGTGCACCCTCCCTCTCAGCCCAGCCGGGACCCTCAGTGCCCTGGGGAGCGACCCTGACCCTGCAGTGTGAGGCTGAGATCTGGTTTGACACCTTCCACCTGCACAGGGAGGGGTCATTGGACCCTCCCCAGCACCTCCGTCTGCAGGACACGTCTGCACCCTCTCAGGCCAACTTCACCCTCAGTCCTGTGACCTCAGGCCACCAGGGGACCTACAGGTGCTATGGCTCAAACAGCACCTCCCCCTACCTGCTCTCACAGCCCAGTGACCCCCTGCAGCTGGTGGTCTCAGGTGAGGAGCCCTGACCCTGTCCTTTCTGTGCCTCAGTTAGCCAGGGCCCTGTCCCTAGGAGTGTGGGTGACAGTAATAAACAAGGAGGTGGAGGAGGTTCCACAGAGCAGAATCCAGCCCATGAGAGAGTAGAGACAGACAGGATCTCCCAATCCTGAACCCCATTTCTGAACCTTAGCATAGATGAAGGGTAGGGAGGGCGAGTGAGATGTGAGTGAAATGAACAGGAATATGATTAGACTGAGCAGAGAACACAGACCCCCCCCCCATCACCACCACTCACCTGCTGATGTCTTCATCTCAGAATCTGGGTGCCTGTAGTCCCAGCCCCCACTGGACACTCCCCTGTAGAGAAAAGCATCCTGTCTGTGGGCACCACACTGCCCGGCCCCCTGTGCTCACCTGGAGGCCTCCAGGCCCTCAGTCTTCACCTGAGAACAAGGAGGGACCCTGCAGGCCTCATGGGGACCTGGGGCCTCCTGCCCAGACGCTGTGCATTCCCCTCTGCTCAGTGTCTCTGTGCACACAGGTCTATTGTGGTTCTTTTTAGAGAACCTTCAGGCAACACTTCAGTCTATAAGCTCACAATTTAACTGACATTATATGGAGTCCAGATATAAAGATAAACATTCTATTCCTGTTTTCATTGGGAGTAGATTAAATTCAGACATTTGTTATGGAGAACTACTTATTATTTATACAAGGTCTTCTTTTCACATACATTTTCAAATGAGCTTTATGAATGAACCTTAGAAGCACGTGCTAACTATTTGTAAATTGAGTAAATGTACAGCCACTTACTAGAGAATTGCACCTCTAACATAGTAATTTGTGAGTAAGCGGTGTGATTCCTGTAGATTTTCTAAATGCTAGTGAGTACACATAGGAAAGCTCTTTGTTTGGACATACTTATATCAGAACCTGATAGCCTCCTGTGGACTGTTTTTCAGTTGGTCCCTCTGATATAAAATTATAATCCCCAGCAGTCAAAGGGAATGTCACTTCTTTATTCCCAATGGCATACCTATTTTTCTCACTCCACGTCCCATAGGATGGAATGACGGACCAAAATGGGCCACAGCTTCCCTTCAAGGTAACAGCTTCATTCAACACCCAAAGTTATGTCAAGGCAAATCCACTTACAAATTTGCATTTTATAGTGAAAGCACCTTTGGCCAATTTGTTCCAATCCGTTCTTCTGTTTCATTAGGTTGTATTAGGAATGTTCTCTTTGCCTGACAGATGCACATCCCCCCATAATTATCTCTTCTCTGACTTTTAACCACATGACACACATTACAAAGGCTTCTTGGTGTCACCATTTGGATATTAACCCAACTGAGTGACGCTGATCATCCATGTGCATTTCTGAACTGTGGAGCTGACACATAGAGTTATTGCATGGATCACTGTAACGAGGAAAGGTCATAATTTTGTTGTATCTCAGGTATTATAGCAAAATGGGGTCACAGGTTGACATGATTTCCACTTTGGGAGCACACTCAATAATGAAATTAGGGGGATTTTCTCTGTAACTTAAAATTTGAGCCAGAAATGTGGACGTCTTTGGTTACGACCTTTGTTGTACTTTGAGATAAAGCAAATGCTCACACCGCTAGCACCCATATGCCCACATTTCTCATTTGGTAAAGATATGCACCACTGTAGGTATTCATTTGTATAATTGTCTAACAAATGAGTTAAACCCTAGCTGGCTTGGCTCAGTCGATGGAGGGTCAGCCTATGCACTGAAGGGTCCCAGGTATGATTTTGGCCAAGGGCACATGCCCAGGTTGCAGGCTCAGTCCCCTGTAGGGGGTGTGCAGGAGGCAGCCAATCAATGATTCTCTCTCATCACTGATGTTTCTCTCTATGTCTCCTTCCCCCGTCCTCTCGGAAATCAATAAAATATATTTAATAAATAAATAAATGAGTTAATAGAAGAACCAATACATGAATAATTCCAGGTGAAAATGAAAATGCAGAACCCAGAGAGGAGGGGCCTGGATGGGGTGGGGTGAAGGAGACCCAGCCCAGACTTTCACCCCTTCCTGCTCCTGAGATTCAGGAGCCCCTGACACCACACCCTCCTCCATGGACCCTGGGTCCCCAGCTGTTGAGAATGTGTGATCTCTCAGCTGTAGGGGAATAAGCTCATGGGGTCTTGAGTCTCAGCCTGAACCACAGAACACCCAGCTCTTAGTTATTTCTGAATTTTGATCATATCTTCTCTTATCCTCAGTTCTCAGGGACAGCTTTTACACGGTGACTCAGAGCAGGTGCTGGTTCAGACATCACTGGGACGCTGATGTGAAGGGGAGGTGGGAGCCCAGGGAAGTCACCAGAATCCCGGAGGTTTGGGTCTGCCCTGACCTCTAAGACTTCTTTACCAACAATTCTTTTTTTCCCATCCCCAAGACTACACAGTGGAGAATCTCATCCGGTTGGGCGTGGCTGGCTTGGTCCTGGTGGTGCTCGGGGTGCTGCTATTTCTGGCTCGAAACGACACCAGAAGGGCCCTCCATGCAGCCAGGATGTGAACACAGAGGCAACAATGCACCATTCAGAGTGGGGGAGCCTTAGAGCCCATCTGATGACTCCAGAAGGTGCTGAAAGAGAATCTGGACCATAATTGGGGAAACTGTCTGCTGAGAACGTCCAGGGGAGGAGAGGTGGTAGGTGAGGTTTGGGTCCAGAAGAACATGGGCCATGTCCCTGTAGAGGACACCTCATCCATCCAGCTGGGGTGCTCTCCCTCCGTCCCTGTCCCCAGTTAGTCTCCTTCACTGCCCTTCTCTTCTCACCCTATGACGTGAGGGTCTGTCCCACATGGGTGGTTTGGGTGCACATCTATACACCCCTTCATGCTGGGCCACATCCATCCCAATGTGGTATCTTCATAACCTTGGGATTGTTTCTTTATTTTATTTTTACTTTTTTAACTACGTTTTTATTGATTTTAGAGAGAGAAGAAGGGAGAGGGATAGAGAGATAGAAACATTGAGGAGAGAAAAACATCAGCTGCTTCCTGCACGCCCCCTTTTGGGGATGGAGCCCACACCCAGGCATATGCCCTGACCAGGATTCCAACTAGTGACCTCATGGTTCATAGGTCGATGTTCAACCACTGAGCAACACTGGCTGGCTTGTGGGATTATTTTTAAACCAAGAAGAACAACATAAACAAACAAAAAAAGTCCTGATACCTGCTCCACGTGGTCCAGCCCATTGCACATCTCCACCCTCCTACCACCTCCATGTGGCTTCTTTGTATCCTTACCTGGGACCTTCTGTTCACCTAGATTCCAGGTGATTCTGAACGCTGCTTGCTCTGTAGTTTAGTTGTGATTTCACTGTGGCCGTGGGAGGATTTCAGTACTTCCTTTAGTTCCTCTGCTATCTTGGGCAGACGTCATAATATTTTGATAATAAATAAGTAAATTTGAATTGTTGCCATCATTTTATTCAAGTAATGCATAAGGTTCGTTTTAAGTAGCTTTTTAAAATATTTCCAGAACAGTTTCTTTTTTAATTGTAATGATTTATTTTTAAGAATGGGTCCCCTTGGTATAACAAGATTTTAAGAATCATGATAACATCAACTAATGTTTTTGAGTGCTTATGGTGTGACAGGCACTGTTCTAAATGTATTACCTCTATTAACTCACTCAGTCTACACAACAATGAGATCAGATTACATAGATATAGATTTTAAATTGACTCAGATTTATTTGTTTTGTACATTTACATCAGTTTAGAAGTTATGCATGCATTTCCAATAGGAATAGTTACCACCATTGTTAATATTGGTAAATGGGTCTGTATCCAAATCAGTAGCTGCAAAACATCCGATCCACCAGGAGCAATAGGGTCACTGTGCCCCAGTGTTTCTAACAAAAGGTCACTGCTAAAGCCAGCTGCATTGAAAGGCTCAACACCAGACCTGGCCACAGCGTTAGAAGAAGATCGCCTGAGAAAGCTGTCAGATGTACATAGATCTGACCCCTTGAAGAATCACCTCCAAATAGACCAATTTCCCCAAAAGGATCATCCTTGAAAGGATCACTGCCAACAAGAAAATCAAATTGGAGACAAATCCAAGTCTGTATCTGCACCTGGATCTGCCAGTGACCTTGATTCTACAGTCAAAGGATCTTCTTTAGAGTGTCTGTCACTGTTACATTCAGAACAAATTTTTCATTGGCAGCTGTGGTCGCCACTCTATTCCCATCAGCCATCACTCCATTCCCATCAGCCGTCCTTCCATTCCCATCAGGCATCACTCCATTCCCATCATTCACCCCTCCATTCCCATCAGCCATCCCTTCATTCCCATCAGTCCCCACTCCTTCCCCATCAGTCACACCAGGAGGCAGCATGTCAGGAGCAGTTCTTGCTCAGACTCCAGGCTGCTCTGGCCTTCGGTGTGCATGCCGGTTGGCTGGTTCTCTGCTGCCTGCGCTGAGGCTGCAATAATCTGTACCACCTTTTACAAGGATGCTGTGGGGCTGCTGCTCCAATTTCCTTTTTAAAAAATGTATCTTTATTGTTGAAAGTATTACAGATGTCCCCTTTTTTCTCCACTGACCCTCTCCACTCTACACCTGCCCTTCCCAGGCCTTCACCACACTATTGTCTGTATCTATGGGCTGTTCATATATGCATATAAATTCTGTCCCAAACCATCCACTCACTCCAGGCTTCCCTCTGA